TGGCTGTGGCTCTACTCTGCCTTTTCCTGGTCCAGGATCTGTCTCTCTTTCTCTCTCCTCCACCCCATGTCGCACTTGAGTTCATTATTATGATATTTGGTGTCAGCGCCGTGCTGTGCCAACCCTCCTCGACTTTCCCCAGACCAGACCTCTGGGCGTGGCAGTGTGTGTTTTGAAAAACAGAAAAGACAAAAAAAAACTGAAACTCAATTATAACAATATGCTCAGATTTTCCCTTTGGCTGCACGGCGGAGAGGCGGAGAGGCGGAGCAGGCGGGGTTTTTCAATTTGTTGTACGACTAGACGGACAACCTTTGTTGCTGCTGCTGCTGCCTGCTGCCTGCTACCTGAAGCAGACAATCAACCGGATCATCATCGCCTCGAACATCGAATGATGAAGTCCAGCTCTAAGTCCAACTCCAACTCCCAGTCATAGCCATAAACTATGCCAATAACCATAACTATGAACTAATAAGGTCGGACTGGGGATTGGGATCGGGTATGATGATGGCGTAATGGCGTATGGCGATGGATGAGAAGACTTTAACACAATATCAAAACAAAGAAAGTGGAGCAAACGGCCGCTTCGGAATAGGAATCAGAATCTATGAAGAAACCCAAGAAATGCTGCTAATCATCGCACAAAGAAATAAATTACAAACATTGTTTGTGGATGGATGTGAGTCCCAGTCCCAAGTCCCTGTACCAGTACCAGTCGCAGTCTCAGTCCCAGTCGATGGCTGTGGCTGTAGCTGTGGCTGACCCCTGAGCTATGGAATGCCCGCTGTGAAAATTGAAAAGCGTTCGAAAGGCAAATAGAAAACGAATCTCTTAAAGGGGCAAGGCGCAAAGATTAACACCGTCAAGCCGTCAAGAGTCGTCTCAGCTTCAGCTTCAGCCTCAGCCCAGTCATGTTGCACGTTGTCCCGAGAGAGCATTTATACGAGAGTGTGAATAAATTAAGGCATCAAAATTCATAATACAAACGATCGGTCCACGATAAACACTTTGATTAGCGCTCACCGCTCGAACCATCGACTCCCGCTGCGAAATTGAAATGGAAGCAACTGTGCGGAGGCACAGGCAGAGGCAACACTCGGATCCCCCCCCCGCCACCACCATTTCTTGAGAGAGCGGCAAACACCAAAATGCCCATAATTATGACAATCATCTCTGGGATTGAGTTGCAGACCATCGAGCTGAAGCTGTAGCTGGAGCTGGAGCTGGTTTATATGGGCCTTTAACTGCCTGACTGCCTGCCTGCTTGCCTGCTTGCCTGCTTGGGCTGCTTTATGATGGAGCGTTAATCCCCATTGTTGGGGCCATTGTGCAGCTCCTCTTGTTGTTGGCTTAAGAATCTGTTACAGAAAACTTAAAAGCGTCGCTTTAATAACTTTATTGATTTCGATTAAGCGCTATAACGTGAGGTGATCATCATCATCATCATCATCATAATCATCATCATCATCACCGACATTGGCAGCATCGGCATTTGTTTGGATTTGGTTTTGGGCATTTCGGTTCTTGGGAAAGCAAGAAAAGAAAAGCAAGAGGATAAAGGATAGGGGATAGAGCAAAAAGAGGATACACTTTCGATTGAGTTTTAGCTCAAGGAACTCTCTGCGGGAGCCTCTTCCATGTCGAATTTCTATCTTTATAGAGAGTGCTCTATAACTTTGACCTTCCTGAATATATTTTCTTTCCTGTTGCTTTGCTTCTGCTCTCTTTTTGTCTTTCCTATTCCTAATTATTTCATTTTTATGCACAAAGTGAATCTCTCTTTTCTAGTCCTTTAATTACCCCCTAAAAATTCAGCCATATAAATCCTTTTAATTTCCTTCAATTTCCATAATATTCTCGGATGAATTCTTTGCCCTGCAGGGCATTAGCCAGTTGCCAAAGCCCCGAAAAGCGATGGGCTCTTCTCGCCCAATAAACAATCACACAATGGACAATAAGCTTAACATTCGATATATTTTTTTCAGCTCAATAAAAAACTCATTTACAACAAAAGCGGGAGGATCGGATCGGGGGGCAGCCGCCGCAGCAGCAGCAGCAGCAGCACTGTCTCTGGTCTTTTTTTGGGGTAAGTTTAAGGAGCTGGGAAGCTCGGATAGGAATGTCTGCCATTTGGATAGACAGACTCGTCGTACGCGTACAAATAAACCTAATGAAAAAACGTGTGAAGAAGAGTTAAGAGCGTCGTCCAATTTGATTTGCATCGAAAAGTAATTGAGCCACAAAAAACGAGGCAAAAAGAAATAAATGGAAACGCTCCACGGGGGCACGAGTCCGAGTCTGAGTCGGTTATGGCTATGGCTATGGCGATGAAGATGTGGAAAATCTTTCGAATCATGCACAATTATTAAAATCCATAAACGTAATAATCATATCAACAGGCCCCAACCAGATCATCCAAGACGATCAGAATAAAGAGAATACAGAGCACCGAACGGGATGGTGTGGTGTGATGTGGTGGGGCAACAATAACCACCATAAGGTGGAGTCATTAACAGCATGCCACATACAACAACAATATCTGTGGGAGAGGGGTGAAGGCAAGGGGGGAGTGGGAAACGAACAGCAAAGCGCGAACACTGAAAAATTAATAAGCAATAAAATTGCCATGAAATGAACTACACCACAAAATTCCCATGAAAGCGACCGCTCTCCATCTCCATAGCCCTCCCCCACCCGCTGTGTGGAGCCAAAGGCAGGAGCTGCAGCATCCCAGTCCACTCCCGAGAGTCCAAAACGGTTAATCGGTGTTACCGTTCCCCAACAGATTGGAACCCCCCCCCCCACGACCCCAAAAGCCAACCAAAAAAAAAAAAAAAGAAGAAAAAAACCCAAACCCGAAACCAAGGCAAAACTCAAACGGACCGACCGAACCGAACCGAACCGGACCTGATGCTGAGGCTGGACCTCAAAATGAATGCAAATTCAATTGACACTTCGCTGGCCTTCGGCTTGCGACTGGTTTCCTGTCCACTCCTGTTGCTCCTGCTCCAGCTGATGCCCCCCCATGGGGCTGCTCTTCTGCTCATTGGCTTCTTTCTCATAATTCGGTGATAACTGGACCAGAGTCTGACCGATTTGGGTCGGAAATGTCTTTGGCTGACACGTTTAAAGTTGCAATTCAACTGGAAGCTCATAAAAATGTTTAAAATTTTTATTTGATTAAAGTTTTCCCTGATTTCGCCGGCCCAACATTGTTGCCTTCAGCTTTTATGGTGCTGTTTGTAGGAATTGCAAGTTTCTTCTGCCTGTGGGACAGACACTTATACAGACATTGAACCGGATAAAAGAGGATGAACCTCTGTTTTTCTTTACTATGTAGTTACAGGGTTCTATGGTGGAATTTTCTCCGACATAATGAAAAATATTTTTAAGTCAATCAAGGGAAAATATTTTCTTCCAAAAAAGACACTTAGAAATTTCTTAATGTGTCAGTGCCGTCGGTCTATGGATAATTTTCAGCATATTCTCTTTCAGTGCAATGGCTTCAAAGTCCAACAATAAGTGTGCCTATTCCCCCCTTTTATTTGGTTACTTAACTGCCTGGAAATGCTTTGATTTTGATGTTCAAATGGTCACTTTTGGGTGTGTTTAATGCATCATATAAAGATGGATTTTAAATGGCCATTTCGCTTAATGCGGGAATTTTATTTTTTATTTTATTTTCCATGCCATTTCCCTGCCAATTTCCACACCATTTCGGAAAGGAAAACGCTTTGAGATCTCGCTCATTTATATGTGTATTTTTGATGCCATTTAAATTGCTGTTTATTGAATTTGTTTCCCCAACTCGGGTTTTTAGGTTTCGGTTCTCTGTTTTGTTTGCTATTTGTTTTTTTCGCTGCTGTCTTTTGTGAGTAAATTTCTGCTTGAATAAGGGGACTGTGGGGAGTTTTTGGGGGAGGAGACTTGCGCACAGTTTCATTTGTGTAAGTATCGTATTATTTTGTGGATAAGCTCGACACGAAATAAACCAAAAAATAATAAGCATAATGTTTCGTCTTATGTGGGTTTTTCTTTACAGATTTTTCGTTCTTTTATTCTTGTTTGACAATCATTTTATTCGATACAGTATAATGTTTTTCATTTTCCGTTTCGTTTGCAATTTCTATTCGTAGTTTGTGTTGGTTTCTCATATTCTCATATTTTTCTCATAGTTTTAAATATATTGTATGTACTATTCCTCTTCGTTAGGATCCTCTTTATATCTTTATTCAAAAAAAAAACATCTTCAATTAGGTTTTGGGTATCTATCCGATTCTTTGTGGTTTTTTTTTGTTCTCTTTCTTTCTTGCTTGTTTTGAGCTAAATTAAATTACATTTTTACACACACACACGCACACATACTTGCGCATGCACACACACATTCATTCATGACTACACTGGGAAAAAAATTTGTCCTTAGTTGATATCGTTTTTTTTTTATTACATAAAAGTATTATTTATATTTCAAGCATTGCTTAAAAAAAAAAAAAAAAAAATAGTATAAGTTTTATACTATAATGTAAAAATAATAAATTCATTTACAACACTAATTTAGTCTCTCTTGGAACAGGGGGTTTTAAATTACAATACGCAAAAAAAAAAATATATATATATACATTATAAATATGTATATTCATGTATATTATATAGTCGAATAAATAAAATCACTTAAGAATATTCAAGCTCTGAACCGAAGAGAAGTCAACTGAAGGAAAACTTTTAGCTGGGCTCCACTAGAATATGATTCGCTGTTCAAATTTCCCGTAAGCGAATAGACACAAACGGAGGACACATATCAGAATATGAACGAGCGATTCTGATATTTTTAGCAAATTTTTTTTGACATTATGAAAACTATTGATTACTCTGTAATACGATTTTTGGTGAGGAAGTTATATTGTTTTTTGCACAGAATATTTGAGATTATTTTGTATTGCGATTCATGGGTGAACTGCATGACGTGCTAGTGGAACCCATACAATTAAATAGAGAGAGAGAGAAAGATGGAGAGATTTTAACTTATAGACAGATAGATGGAGATGTAAAACTGAGCAAAAACCTCTAGGAACGCATAAATCAATGGAGAAGCAAATGCGGTTCGGTCGAACTCCAACTCCAACTGCAACACCAACACCAACGACAGCATCAGCTGCACCTCCTGTTCCGCTGCTTGGTTGCCTCACGTATTGTTGAAGAGCAACGACTCGATGCTGAAGGGATTGCTGCGCCGCATGCTGATGGGCGAGGTCTGGTGAACAAGATTGGCCGCCGCTGCCACCGCAGCCGCCGAGGCGGCGGTGGCCGCCGCACTGTGGTTGTGCCCATGCCCATGGCCGTGCCCGTGAAGCTGGGAGTTCTGCAGGTTGAGTTGATGGAAGGCCTTTGCGGGAAAGAGTAGCGATTTGGGCGATGCGCGCGACTCCTGTTCCCTGTCCCTATCCTCTGACTCGCCGCCATCCATCGGCTCCATCTTACCGAAGACACCACCGCCGTTCGAGAGCAGCGTGGAGGGGGCCACGGAGCTGGGGCTGCCCAAACTGCCGCCGCCGCCAATGAAGCTGCCCGCCCGCGAGCTGTCACCGTCGCCGTCCAAGCCGCAGTGGCTCTGGCCGCCATGCTGTGGCCCGTGTCGGGCCGGGCTGACGGCATCGCTGTCCAGCTCATCATCGCTGTCGGTGCCGCCGACGACATCGATCTGGATGCCATCGTCCTCGAGATCCGAGTCCGAGAAGGTGCCGTTCGCCTTGTGCTGTGATATGTACTCGGCCTTGAGGGCCTCCAGGTCGACGGTGATGCCCTTGGCCTGCAGCTTCCTCGCCTGCCTATCGATGGCCTTGGCCAGTTTCTTCCGGCGCCTGGCACTGGAAAGATCATGGAAAAAGGAGGAGGCAAGAGGGAAATGCTATAGCTGGGGAAATCTTTGGGGGGAAGGGGTGGTGGTGCAGCAGTGTAGAGCTCTGGGAACACTTACCGCTCCTTGGCCTTGAGCTCGTTGGGCGGTATCGGCTCGCCGCTGCATGTCTGCGGCTGGGCATTGTGGGCGGGCCGGCCGGGACCCTTTTTGGTGTGCTCGCGCTTACGCACCTTGGCCCGTCGATTCTGGAACCATACCTATCTGGAACAAAGCGTATAATCTCAGCAAAGGTGCTCGGATACGGTGTGGCAGGGGGATCCTGTGGAACGAGACTCACCGCAACTCGCGACTCCTTGAGGTCCAGCCGCATGGCCAATGCCTCGCGCATAAATATATCCGGATAGTGGCTGGCGGAGAAGGCCCGCTCCAGTTCTTCCAGCTGCCAGGAATTGAAATTTGTGCGGGAGCGACGGCGTTTGGCGGCGCTGCTATCATCATCGCCGTCGCCGGGAAAACCTAAAGACACAAAAAACAGGGACGAAAACAGGGAAAAATGTAAATGAATTTTCAAGTCGGAATCAAGTCATTAATATAACTACCACACAATGGAGCATAGAGCAGAGAACATCGAGGGTGTTGACTTATTAAAACTAATTAGGGTTCTACCAAAAATAGAAACAGACTAAAAAACCTAAAAAAAAAACTAACCCCCGAACCCCATCACACATGGGACCCGGAAGACCCGGGAAACCCTGAAAACCCACGAAAAATTAATAGAGAAAACACACACAAAACGAAAAACACTTTGTTCTCGACACTAAAAACCCTATAATTAAGTGTTGGAGAAATTATTTAAATGAAGCCAGCACCACAAACATACACACACACACACACACCCACACCACGGAGCAGCGCCAAAATGCATAAATATTCATAATCATATATTTCAATTACAACGCCAATGGGCCCCCCCAGCCCCCAGCCCACCATTCCATTCCACATCCCCTTATCCCATTGCAAAGGGAGTCTACTCTAACCGACGCGTCGGCATACAATAAAAACGAAACAATTTAATTACGTTTCCATTCTCCACTCTGCAGTCCACTCGCCCAGTCCAAGTCCCAGTCCCAGTCGCAGTCCCATTCCCTGAACGATCCGATCCGGTCCAGAATGTATAGTTTTCTATATTTAGATTATACACCCAGAGGGGGCGTGGCAAACACACTCGCATACACAGAGAGAGGGAGAGGAGAGAGACGGTGAGTGGATACACAGAAAGAATGCATGCAAAAGGGCCCGCAATTTATCAAATTAGCTCCGATCGGACCCAAAGTGAATCCGAAAAGGTACAGGAGAGAGGGCCAGAAAGGTGTTGGATATTAGATGATGGGAGTGGGACTGAACAGGACAGGACAGGATGAGGCATCTCAGGGACACTGCAATGGCCATCAGGACAGGAACATAAAGCAAATGAACAGTGAATACATGTGACTGGATAAACGAATGCAAAGTGAATGTTTTTGGCGATTTACTTCACGGGAAACGTTTTTCTCTCACTGTGGAACTGATTCTCAGTCGATGCTCACAGGTAAATTCAGTCGGGTGACATTTTTGAATTATTTTTCCATCAACAAATAAGTATTAAAATTACAATGCGACAATCACGTGTTCTATTCATTCGAATGCACTCGAAACTGTCATTAAAATGAAAGCTTCTGTCATTCTGATTCTGATTTTCATTCAATAATTGAATGTAATTCCATATAATAAATGCCAAACATATACAGATATACATATGTATATATTTATACCTTATTATACATAGTAGACCAATGAATTATAGTGCATTCACCTCAAATATTTGATGTATTCAAGTGCGTAATGTAATGTACATAATTCAGTAATAATTCAAATTGAAATCTGCTTGAAGAATTACCATTATTGCAAATGAAATCCCCCAATATTCCAACTCGTCACGCAATGAGTGTTGGCACTGAATCGATGATTGCCATTGCCTCGACACAATCGAAAGCCATTTAAATGCCACAACACTTGCAACTTTGTAATCACATCGCTACACCCTGCCGGCGCCAGCTCCGGCCTCTGCCACTGGTCCAGTCCGGTCCTACTCTTGTCCCAACTATCAATTGTGTAAGATGTGGACTACCTACATACGCACACAATGCACTCCACTCCAGCATTAAAGCGCAATAACAAGAGGACGGGCCACTAATGAATGGTTTGCATTTTGCTGTTAAGTGTACCTAATTATGCGTGCAGCACTGTAACGCTGCCTGAGCCTCTCCTCTGCCTCTGTCTCTGTCTCACTCTCTCACTCTTTGCTTTGACTGTGCTGCAGCCGCCAAGCTTTGGCACTGCTTTTGCACTGCTTTCTGCATACACGATACTTATTAGCATGGTGCATTTTTTGGGTAAATAACCGACGCTAAAATACCGCTTAACATTTAAACTTTCGGCATACGATGCGATTTAGATGTAGAATAAAATGAAATGAATTGAAAAATGCCATCAAACGAGTCGATTTTGTATAGCTATCAAAGTGATCATTCAATCCTACAAATAGCAAAAAAGTGACGGTAGAAAACGTATCGTTTAGCAGCAATAGCAGCTCTCGGGGGTGGGGGGGTGGGGTACTCGCTCTCTGCACTCTGTGGAGCGACAAAAAACTCGTTTGTTTTAAACGACGCGCCGACCCGCGGTCAGTCTTTTGACTACGTGTGTGTGTGTGTGTTCCAAGCCAATGCCACAGTGTATGTACATACATATGTATGTGTTAATAACTCAATAACAACGCCAAATACACAGAAATAATAGAGACATTAAAGGCACCAAGCGACTAGCGACAAACGACAAACAAAACGCAGGACGCAGAGGACGGCCGGGCCGCCCTTTAATGTGTGAGAGTATGAGGCGGGGCAGACGGAGGTGGAGTGGGCGGTGCACACACAGATACTCATACGTATGTATGTACACACAAAATGCATTCAAATGACTTAATAATAACAGGCGGCTGGACTGCACTGCTCCGCCCCTTCGAAGGAGTCGCGCGGTGAGTGAGGTAAGGTGAGTGTTTGGCTTGGCTTGGAGTGCGATTTGAGTGCCGCGACAGTGCCACAGAGAGAACACATAATTCATGTGGTTTTTTTGAAAATGCAAAACGATAATTGAAATTTATTATGATTATTGCACCCACTGTGCAACGTGTGCAGTGTGCAATGTGCAACGTACTACAACCACCACCACCACCATCACCACCACCACAGATGTACTGCAATTTGGCAACGCCGCTGCACTCGGTGTGGCTCCTGGCCTCAACCTCCACACAAAAAGCCAAAAAACGAAACAAAGAGACGAAGAAACGGGCGGCTAAATCACAGGGAACGGAACGGAACAGACTTGTGTGTGTGCCTGGGTGTGTGTGTGTGTGGTGTATTGCATGCCACAGTCACATTCCGTGGCATGTTATTTTCGTTTACAGCTCGCGTCAGGCAGGCAATATAACAGTTACACACCCCCTCAAACTCCCCCAACGCCAAAACCCCAAACCCCCGACCGTACCCAACCCCCAACTCAAGACGACGCCCCTACCCTTTACCGCGATCCTCCGCAGGTGAGGAGCCACTTAAGTCATAAAAATTAAAGTGAATATATGTATAAAAAAGTTAACACAAGAAACAGGCAAAAGAGAGAAGAGAGGAGAAGAGAAGAGCAAAGAAGAGGGATGGCAGGCAAAGAATGGTTTTATGGTTTTGAAGGAGTGTGGTGGATTATGGGGAAACTCCTCGTCTAATTGCATTTGACCAAAGCAGCAACAGAGGACTAAAAACCCTAATGAATGCTTGATTCACTTCCATTGAATGATTCATTAGCAGTTGCCAGTTACCATATTCATAATTCAATTTCACGTATGGCAGTGATTCCACTGAACATGATCATTCAACGTTAACTGTCATCATGCATAATACGCAGAGTTTTCATTGAGGAAACTTCACTCTATACATATATTCCAAATGGATTTAATTATTTCGAACAGTCTTTCATTAGCAGTAAAATGGAATTTTACGCAGCATTTTCATGATCCAAATTCACGAGTGGAAGGGTATTATTATTATCAATCAACGTTGACGCGTGACTGCCATCATGCATATCATGCAGACTCTTCTGCATAGATTTAACGGAGTATTCCACTGGGTAGCACCAATCCAACGATCAAAGGATTCACTTCTCTTAGACACTCTTTGCTGCAAGCACAACTGTTGAACAGATTTCGTGATGATCATGGATATAGCCAGAATGAATACATTGATGAATTGCTCACAGCAATCACAGCTTCACTTCCCCGAAACGAAAAAAAAAAAACAAAAACCCAATCACAAAACGGAAATCCATTAGAAAAACTCCAAGGAAGTAACGAGTTTTCGAAACTCCGACGAAATCTATTCGAAGGCAGAAAAATGATTTATCATTCAGTATTCCATTCCATCGTTCCATCAATGTGGAGTGATTTCCGTTTTTTTGGGGCAGAACGGAAACACCCGTCATCCCATTCCCCCTCACATCTTCAAACCATTCGGAATTCATTAGGAGACAAGAAACAAGAAACAACAAAACGAGTGTAAAGAGTGTAAAGAGTAAAGAGAAAAGAGAACAAACACAGAAAATGGCGGCGTCGAAGCAGAAAACTGAAAATCGCATGATAAATGATTCCGATCGCCTTATGACAGTTTCTTCATTTCCGGCATGAAATGAGCAACGGCAACGGCACAAGAAAAAGTTCAAGGAGAGGGAGCGAATGAGAGAGCGATGATGGTGTGGATGGGAATGGGAATGTGAATGAGAGTGGGAATGGGAGTGGGGACGACAACGATGATGATGATGTCCCGTTCCACCACCCACACAACCCACACACCCATCTGCCATTCGGCTGCATGTCAACTCTATCCCGCAAAATGATTAATGAGCAAAAGGCCATTCCCCCAAGCCCCCTCCCCCATCCCTCTACCCAGCACACTCCTCCCACACACCGCACCAAGCAGCAAAACGGGCGGCGCACAACCTGCAATCTGGCAATCTCTGGCCTAATCAAATTGAATCAAATCAAATTAATAATTAGTTTTTAAAGCGCTGAAGCGCCAAAGGAGTAGGAAGTGCCTCCTCTCTCTCCCCTCTCTCCCTCTGTCTCGCTGTCTCTCTGTGGAAGTGGGTGCCGCACTATCCCTCTCTGTGTCTCTTCATGTGTTGGCTGCAATTAATTAAACGGCCTGGCGCACAGCTAATGTCGCAGAAGGCCCCAGATCCGAGATCTACCATCCTCCAGTGAGTGCAGTTAATTACAAGCAGTGAGGACTGCTTACCTCTGGCCACGCCCCTGGCAAACGCCCCACGAGAGTGGCCGAGAGCCGAATGGCCGCGCGCATTGGATATATGCATTATGGCCATAATTACACCAACTAGCCATCATTTGTTAATGCTAATTGGTCAATGAGCCGCAGCCAGAAGACGGCCAGACAGCCAGACGGCCCTCTCCTCGTCTTGGACTTGGATCTGCTCTCGTACAAAACGCCTTGGACCTATCTAATGGCTCTCCATTGAGAGAGCGCGGAGAGCGATGATCAAAGCAAATGGAGACCCATCAATTTCGGTTCCCCGGTGATTGCTCCCCAAGCAATTGTCCAATAACAAGAAAAATAAAACCCCCACCTCCCACAAGAAAGAAGTAAAGAAAGTGGCAATGACCACAAAACAAGTTAAGCATAAATCATCCACGAGATGATTTCCATCAGAGGCAGAGAATGAGATGTATAACTAGCGTTTCCTGGAATGAGAGCAATTGCGGAATAGGAAATGAATCCTCCAATTCTGGACTCACTTTGAATAACATATTGGAATACTTGGAAGAGTGGAAGATTGCTCAAGTAGGTAAGTCAGAATATAACTTTAAAATTCTAATTGATATTTCCATATAAATCCGTAAGAAACATTGAATGTGAGAACAGGGATTTTTATAAGTAGATTTCTATTTCAAAATATGAAATGTTACTTTAATTTCCACATAGAAATAATCATAAATAACTGGAACATAGGGACACATTTTAAAAACATGAAAACAAACTATCAAATTTCTTGTTAAAAAAATAGATTTCTTTAATGTGAGTTTCATCGCAGAATATGGAATGATACAAGAAAACAGATCTCCTTAACAAAAGTTTTTACTAATGAAAATACACCTTCGATTCCGGTAGAGAATATATATTTTATCTTTGGGAACATTTCAATGGAATACTCGTACGATGTCAATAGAAGTAATAGAGCTAGGGATGGCTAAAAGTAGAGAGATCTTTCTAGCACAAATTAGGAAAGTCAATTTTAAATTTACAAAAAAAAACAGGTGCTTAATATCTTTACGACTTTTATGGAATGGAAAGCGATTCGGTAACATAGTGGCCAGAAATAGGAGCGATTGCGGAATACCTATGGCTATGGAGATAATAAATCCTCTCTTGTAATCCGAAACCCACTGAAATGTCGAATCAGAGTGAGTCTGCGCTGTATAGAGGCAACTCTTTATTAGTATTGTATGTGGAGCGACATATACAACACACAATAGTTTGATCATCTATGGGCAGGCATTGGGAACTCGAATCTCGAGACTTGAAACTCGATGCGACCATTCAACGGCGCACAGCAGGCGTCTCCGTCGCCCAGTTCAGTTCGTTCTCAGGGCATTCGTTGGAGCAATCCACATACTTTGTATGCTAAATAAAAATCAGAAAATCAATCGGATTTTACATAATAATCGATCGCTGATTAGCTAAATCAATAAATATGCTTTGTAGGTAGCAAAAGTCAAGCACAAAGCACAAAAATCTGACTGATACTCAGAGCTCACGGCCTCAGAGCGCACGGCTATAGGAGACGGAGACATGATTGACAATCCGAAAGCATTTAGCAGGGCTAATTGAATGAATTAGCATATTGTCCGCACAGATAACGACACCAGGATGGATTCCAATCACACATTTAACAAACAATCTACGAGTAGCCGTAGCCTCTGACGAAGTGGATCGATCAACTGGCGCTGACCTCCAAAACCCATCCCTCTACCCTCTACCCCTCTCTATCATTATAATGTAGGGGACGTGTGTTCTCGGATTTGATAATTCATTAGCCACTCTCCCGATCTCTGAACGCAAATTCACTGGCAAACGAAAGCTGAGGAAAGCTAAGCGAAAGTCGCCGATTGGAAATTGATTTCATGGGGGAATACGGAATGCGAATTATAGGGAACTGTGACGTCGATTCTGGGTTACCTAACACACGTGTTGGCGATTAGGGCTAAGCGTCATGCCGGCACTTTTGCCTTTTGCTTCTACCTTAAGTACTTGTATGTACAATATTCAGAAAGAGAGCTTTATATATGTATGAGTGATTAACAAGGAGACGTATTCCTCTTTTGAGTTGAAGCAATAGACGTATAATATATAAGAATTAAGCTACTAGATCCCTGCATTTTCCATATGAATGAACTTTTTTTCTATAGTCTGATTTGACTAGGAATCTCCAAAGATACCTAGACGTATGAGCTTTATTTGGTGTACGAATTTCCCCCAAAGGACAGGCATCCAAAAAATTTACTAAAAAATTAGTCGATAGGTTGAAAAAAATTGATCATCTGTAGCTGAATAGCTGATTTCACGAGTAAATTTTCTAATGGGAAATCAATTTTATTGATGTTACTTTTAGACCATAAAATTGAAACGAGCCAAGTGGGAATTAATCCTGAACTCTCTCCACAATCAACAAAATCATACAATTGAATCATATCCTGCCTGATTACTGAATCTTCTACCAAAAGTCAAACACTTACCGCCATCCTCGTTGGATCCCTCGCTCGGTGGTCCCGCCGGCGGCAGACTCTGCCGATTGCCGATCATCAATCGATGCTGGATATTCGCCACAGTGCTGGCCACAGCGGCCACTGCCGTCGTCTGGGCGGCACTCACATTCCTTAGCGCCGCCGCACTCAGTCCGGTGAGATTGGCGAAGGCATTGCTGGCATTTACCGCCGCCATTTGAGTGGCCGCCGCGGCAGCTGCCGCTGTGGTGGGATGTCCGCCGCCGGCCGCATCGAATCGCGGCCGTCCAAGGAACGGTCCATTTGGCCCAAACACGCCGGGCACTCCGAACTGCAGGAAGGGCCCCCAGGGCGGCACTCGAACACCGCCGGGCGCTAGTTGGGCGGCAGCGGCATACAACTGGAGGGCGGCCGTCGGATGCAGTCCCTCCGATGGCATACTGACACTGGGCCTGGGATGGGAATGGGATGTGGGTGGACTGCTGCCGCTCAACCGTTGCTGTTGCTGTTGCGGCGACGTGGCTGATGGCAGATGGTGATGGCCTGAATGGGGATACGGATGTGGATACGGATTGGATTTTATCCTTTGGCGGGACGATGGTGCCACTACTTCCGTCTCGTCCTCGTCCTGGCTGCTGCTATTATTATTGTGATTGATGTTGTTGCTGTTATTGTTGTCGTTATTGTTGTTGTTGTTGTTTATGGAGTACTTTTTGGTGTCCGCTGCGGTGTGGGTGGCTGTGGGTGAAGATTGATTGTGTCGTTGCTCCAGTACCATTATGGCTCTCACGCTCAGAACTTTTGGGCCATTGGGTGGAATCTACACTTTTCTTTACACAACAATTGGAGGGGTGATGGTGTTTGGGGGGATTTGGGTTTTTGGGTTTTGTGGACACTCGCGCTTGGGATCGATCACTAAAGGACTCTTTTTTGGGAGTTTGATATTTTTCGTTTTCAATTTCGTGCTTAAAAAAAATTTACAGTCTGTTTTTTTTTCAGTGTGCGTGCTTTTTGTTTTTGTTTCTGTTTTGTTTTCTTGTGTGTGGTGTATGGCTCTGCCGTCGGCCGGCGGCGGTGCACTACTGAAGAAGACGCGTCGCTCCACACTGATTGAGGGTCTTGGCTCCACTCTCGAGCTCTGGGTACGGTCCGCCGTTCGATTGGATTCGATTCGATTCGCGTGCTGCAGGGGGGGGGCAGTTGGTGTTGCAGGGAGAGACAGACACCAGCAGCGGCAGCAGCAAACGACGCTAGCGGCTCGCAATGAAAATTCAATCTGCGAGCCGACGACGAGCCGTGCGGCCAGGAAACCCTCAGAAACGAGATGGAGCGAGTGCCAAGAGCGAGAGAGCGAAGGCGACCGAACCACCACCAACGCGGGCAGAGATTGTTGCCATGTTGTTGGTGCCCGTCTCTCTCTCTCTTTCTCTCTCCCACTATCTGTCGCTCTTTGGGCTGCTCTCTGCTTGTGTGCGTGTGCGAGCGAGGTAGAAATTCATCAAAAAGCAACAACCACTTAATTTTTATATGCGCTGCGTTTCGCCTGTTTCAATTTTGATCAACTTGCCACTGCTACTGCCTCTCTCTGCCACTGCCACTGCCACTGCCTTTGCCTCTGCTGCTGCTGCTGCTTCTGTAATTCATTTAAAAGAGAAACCTGTCTGGCTGTATGTGCGAGTGTGTGTGTGGCCATTTTCAACATGGTCTCTGCCTTCGTGTCGTGTGTGGTAGAGCGAGACAAATATCTCTTCCATGGCCGCTTCCATTGGCTTTCCACAAATACTGGGAATTTGCTGCTCACTGCCTGCTGCTCACTGCTGCTGCTGCTCACTGACTGCTGCGTCGCCATTGCCAAAAACGACTTCAAGAGTTTTCAATTTTCTTCAGGCTGTTGGTGTGTGTTTGTGTGGGTGACAAAGTTTTCCAGGGCGGAGTTATGCGGCATTTTTTCAATTTGCTTCTCCATCAAATTATTATATGCTCTGCGCTCTGCTCTCTGCTTGGCCGCTGCTCTGCTGCCGCGCAGCTGGCGTTCAACGACCTTTGCAGCGCGCAAAACGCGTCCACCCCCAATAGCCATTTATGGCTATTTTACTGGCAAAATAGAAAATGAAAATTCGTTAACAATTAATTAACAATAATCGGGTAGTTGTTGTTCCTCTTGTTCCTACATTTTCTTCTTCGCAGCTTTTCACGCGCTTTTTTCTTTGCTCTCGCGTTTCACTAGCGTTTCTTGCGCGTTTTCTTTTCAATTACGTTTCCGCTCCTCTCCAAAGCATTCACTTTGCCATGCGTGCAAGCGGGATGGCCATACACACACAACGCCGACGCCAGCCAATTTGCCTTTAATTTGTTAACATAAGCGCCTCGTCCTGCCGAAGGACGAGGAAGAGGAGCAAAAGGAGCACGACAACTCCTCCAAGCAGAAGGAGCGGGAGAAACAGCTCCAACTTCCGAGACTGCTGCTGCTGGTGGTGCTGGTGCTGCTGCGCATGAATTATTCATTTTATTAGGCGCCTGGACAGCGACGTTAGCTGAGGCATCGGCTGCGACCGAGGCAGCGCCAAACGATGCTCCACTTAACCCATTTGCTGTGCAGCTTTCCACCCACACCCTCAGCCATAGCCACACACTCCTCCTCGCTGGCAGGGCAATCAATGACATTGTGTGCTGTGGAGTCTGTGGAGCAGAATGACCTCTGGCCCCCCCTCCGCACCCTTCCACTCCCAATGTGGCAAGTCCCGCGTCTCATCTGTCAGATGTTTTGTTGGCAGGTTGCTTAATTGCTCGCCCTTCGTTCTCTTTTCCTCACTTTCTCACTCTCTCTCCCTCTCGTCCTTCTTCCTTCCTCGCTCTTTCTCATTCTCATTCTCTCAATTCCACACTCTCTCTCATTCTCTTTCTCCTGTCACATGTGCAACGTTGTCTCTCTCTCGCTGTCTGTATTGGTGTTCATTTTATTAATGACATACAGCGCTAGTGGGCGAAAAACGACAGCCAGCCAGCCACCCACCCACCGACCTTTCCCCTCCACCAGTGGTATCCAACCCCTCATTCCTTGCCCTACCATCCGCCCCCCCTGCCACTTTGTTAATAAAATTTCCATGCGTACCGAAACTTAATTAATTCTGCCACAGTTTGTTTCAAAAGTTTTCTCCCCCCAGGTACCCCCTTAACAAAATGGCCGCCACCGTTGCCCCACCACTGGGACAACGATAGCTCCATGTCCTTTGCACATACAGACCCTGATCCTTTCCCCATGCCCCATGCCACATTCCCTTGCAAATCAAACGAATGAATTTTAATTATTTTTTGTGCCTGCAAAAAGTTTTCATCTTTTTTTTTGTTTTTTTTTTTTTTGCCTCCAGGTAGCGGGAAAACTTTTTTAGAAAACCAACCGGAAATGGGAACGGAAAATGGGTGAAGAGGGGCCACAGATGAGCGCTGAAAAAAAAAAACAAAAACAAATACGAATCAGAGAAAAAACACCCAGAACTGCGGGGAATTGGGGAATATTTTTGAAGTTATGCTTGAGGTGCATCTAATCAGAATCTGTTCGAGTGAAGAGATGATGGCAACTGAAGCGGAACTGGCAGATTGTCAATATTCGCAGAGGCACCCACGGAGCTGAGTCAGAGAAAGAAAAAGTTTATTTCATTCAACACTCTAACACTTGTACGTATTAGCACACACATTTAAATGTTTTACGGATCTAATTAAAAGCTGCCATTGCTATGCCATCAGATCTTGGATCGTATTACTCTCTCAATCGCTTCCCAATCAGAATCTTCCTCGACCGGCCGTTATTATCTTTCAGGGATTCTATTAAGATAATTGTTAGCGATTTCATTCGTTCTTGGAAAACTCTTTATTCTCTATTCTCCAGAAATTCCTATCCTCTCCAGGATCAGAAAGTGTTGAGGTGGAGGTGATGGTAATAAAAATGGAACTAGAGGAACCCTACAAGAATTTAAATCTGTTCAAGAATATATGTATGTAAATGTGTACAATGTACATACATATCTCCCAACAATGTAATGTATATCCCTTTTAGGGATCAAGAGTTACAAATTACTTCCAAGATGTTTCAAAATAGTTTTACAAATTAGATTACTTAATTATACACCTGGGAAACCTACGAGAGCTGTTTAATAAGCTGTCGTACACATTTCAATTCGACTAGCTAGCTACGAAAGACACTTTTTCATTTACATTCGCCTATGGAATCAACTCACGGAATAGCGTAAAAACCACCGCAGACGCAGATACAAATACAAAAATAATTTAACTCAACATCCAAGAAACCTTAATTAAAATCAAAATTCAAATAATAATAATAATAAAACTTAAAATAAGATTTTAAAAATTTTAAACTTAAATAAATTTGTATAGAATTGGGCAAACAACTATCATATCCATATGTTCAAAAATAGCTCTAGGAAATATTAAATTTATTAATCAATCTTACTTAAATATTGTTGTGACTAGTGCATTAATTACAAGGAATAACTGTGTAGCACCCTGAATATTAAAATAAACAATCAAATAACTTTAAATTACTTATCTTTGAACCACTTTGAAATAAATAATAATACATATTAGCTTTCAAGTGTTCCATAAACTGATACAATGTCTTGAAAATGTATCGAAGTTCAGTTGGAAAGATATCAATAACCATATCCTTGAATTTAACTGAATTGAATACTGAACCATTTTGACTCCCAACAAGATCACGATGAGCTACGAGTATGTATATAAATAATGCATGTAGGCCAAAACATACATACATATGTACACATATCATATTTCTGATAAAAACTCTACTAGCAGACAGTGAAGTAATGAAACATTTACCTGCATCGGTCACTTTCCACTTCCAAAAGCCCTTCAAAAATATTATTGAAAGAGTGAATTCTCACTAACGTATCACTTTACCCTGTACTTCATTTATCACTCACTTTATTATCTGTTATAAATCTCTTGATAAATCTCATCTGAATAATCTCATAATGGGAATTACTTAAACTATTATATTTTCAACGAAAAAGTACATTGCAACTTATAAATAGACAATATTATAAAAAAAGTGTTTTCGAAATACAAGCACAATCAAAAACACAAGGAGAACGCAAATACAGGGAAATTCCCTGTGCGAATAGGGGGAAATTTGCACAAACGCATGGCTGGGAAATTTCCGCTGCAAGCAGACAAATTTGGATTGGATGTGGAATGCTTGGGATGCTTTGTGAGGGAATTTTACGCTCAAAATGTCTCTTTGATTTGTCCATCATATGGCGGAGGGGGGGCAATGGGGAATGTGCGTGGGTGGTTTGGGGGGTTTAGCGTTATTGCGGACGGATATGAAAACTTAGGGAATGACAGGCAGGAAATTGCAGAACTGTTTTATGGTATTTGGAAAATAAAAAAAAAGTAATGATAAATGGGGGAATGCCAAACCAGTGGGCATGGGAAGCAGCGATGTGGTTGCTTCGAGTATCGCACAGATTGAATTTAGGAACACTGGGAAAAGTTGGAATCATAAATTCTTTTCAGATTTGGCAACTTTTAGCTATCATTTTTCACAGCTATAATTTCCCTATTATCTGTTTTCGTTTCATCTTTTCAGCCATTGGTTGAAAAGCCATTCTAAATAATTTTCTATCCCAATTGTTCTATCTATTTCCAATAGTTTTCTTAACAGTACTTTAGGGGATATTTAAAAGGAAGGAAATTCCGTACTAAGATATTCCCCCTCATTTCTCTCATTCCTTAAAATGCTGCCAGTTGTGGGCTCGATTTACGATTGGACCAATTAATGAGCGTGTTAATTGGTCCTGATTGGGACAGATAGACCATAACCCAAGTATGTCAACCGCATATCATATTGTGGGCATCAAAAAACATTGCCAGGCAACAGCTACAGCGACACGCCCACCGCTTGCATCCTGGCGATCCTGATTCTGTGGCACGAACCACTGAAATTTAAGCGACTGATCAACAGATGCACCGCAACCAGCAGGCACAACAGCACACATGTGTGTCGCTACGGGAAACGCCCACTTTTTTGGGTGTCTTCGACTATAAAAAAAATCTCTCTGTTTGCCAAAGCGTGGCAACCCCTGTAATGAATTGGGCAACAACCCTGTGGTTCACCTCCCCCTCCATCCTTTTGCAGCCGCTTATATAGTGGCTGCCCCGGCCCCTGCCACTGCTGCTGCCCCTGCTCCATTATGGTTCATACCACACAAAGCCAAGTCACACGAAATTATGGCAATTACGCTAAGCAGCCCATTTATTTTTATGAGCCCACGAATTATGAATAATTGCGAATGCGAACCAGCAGCCACAGCACAGAAAACAAGACAAAACTATACGTGAGAGATGTGGATGCGCCGCCAAACCCCACACCACACCACCATCTAGTGGAGTGTTGGGGAAAAATCAAAGAGAAACAACATCGTTAGCAGACATGTTCGAAAATCCATTTTGACATTCAGAAAGAGAGCGCTGACATAATGAAAAACCGCACTCACAATACCCGAAACGTTCCTCCAATCGAAGTCCCAATCTCCACTGCTCCATCCATGGCGGCCTCTATGTGGGTGGATGGGTCGATGGGTGTAGTGGGTTTATGGGTGGGTGTGTGGATTCGTCGTCATTAGGCTCATAAAATTGCAATGACTTGGCACACACACACGCCCCCACATACCGACAGCCAGGTGGACAGACAGACAGAGAGACAGACAGACGATGGGGGAACAATCTTGACAAATGACAAAACAACTAAACTAAATGCTCCATGGCGATTTAATCGAATTCGCAGATGCCCTGGAAACGTGTCACCGATACCGAAATCAAGTACTTTCCCACACTAAACTCGGTACTTTCTTTGCTGCCCAACACTAATTACTCATTCGATAAAGGGGAACTTAAGGGAAACCTTCCTAGCCTTTCATATACATTCTATAAGCGGCAGTGGCGCTTTCCAGCACTGTCTCTGGAAAGCGGTTTGAAATACAAATGAGAGCACATTTCGAGTACATATTCCAAAACAAACAAATTATAAAGCATTATTCAGCGGACTTTTTTTTGCATTTCACAGCACAGTTTTTTTTTTCGCCAATACTTTCTACAAGACGAATTTTCTCCAAAAGGCAATGCAATACCCCTATATCTATCATTACTATCTGAGTCAATTGAAAGACTAGAATTTCCTTGTTAAATGTATTTCGCAGCATTCCACTTTGACCATCCAGTGTTAAGCAATTTCATTTGCTACACTTCTGAGATTTTGCGTACTCCTAATGACCTGCATATAAGATAAATTCCTTTTTGAAAGAAAATACATATAAAGATATATCACAGAGCAGGTGATGACATTGTGATGAAATTGTTCAACACTCTCAGCGCTGCCCATCAAAGCGATGGCTGCCATCTTATGCGGGGCTTTTCTGTGGGGGGATTTTGGCACATTCCTTCAACGACAAAGACGACAACGACGATGAGGACATCAACGCCATCAACGAGAACAACAATTGACATTCATTGGCTAGTTTGATGCTCGTCTCTGCTCTGTCCATTCGTCTGTCTGTCTGTCTGTCGTTTGTCGCCTGTCAACCCCCAAAATATAATACATTCTTCTCTCGGGGCTCTACCGGATGCTCCTTGCTCTTTTGGGTGCTGTCGCGATTGATTTTTCCAAGCGCCAACTTCTGAGCAGGTCCCCGTGCCGGTCCTCTGCCTCCCCTCCACGCTGTTTGTGCGCTCCGGCGGCAAATAAATTACATTGTAATTTGTGTCCCCCAGTTGTTATGGCCATGTCTGCCCACCACCTCTCCCTCCCCCCCTTGAACATCATCCTCAGTCTCGTCCTTGGGCTAGACTCTTGGCCAACCCTCAACTTTGCAGCACACATTCGTTGCGACATATAAATACTCTTGAAGACGGGTAAGGTGATTGTCAACAAAAGGAAGGAAGCATTTGCGACGGCTCTCTATTGGGAGTACCTAGTAGGTACTACCTAAATATACATGTGTACTATATATTATTCCTATGCGATCGCGCTCCCTCTTTTTGAACTGCTTGCTCTCTCCCAGTGAGATTTGTACTGGCATCACACCCTGAGTATCATGATGTTCAGCCACGTGTGACTCTACATTAAACATTCGTACTGATATTTCATAGTTTAGATCAAAATGTATCCAAAATCGAATGGTAACAAACGCATCTGTAAGGGTATCTAAACCTTCGACCCTTGAGGATATTCCTCCTTGTTGTTTTTGCTGCTTTTGTTGCCTTGTAGTGTGGGCTCGTAATTTCATTTCGAGTGGCTTTTGGCCCACCGCCCACCGTTTTGGCATTGCCATGCAGCAGCAGCAGAAGCCGCAGCATCCCTTGCCCCCCGGAATGAGGCAGGAGCAGCCAACAGGCAGCAGGCAGCCTCTAGCTCATTTAAAGTTGATGGTGTGTGAAAAAATGTGAACAGATTGTTATGTAATTGAGTTTTTAGGCAGCCGTTTTGAGGTCGCCTTTTGCGGCCGCCTCCTTGGATGCGGTATGTATGTTCTTTTGCCTGTGCCACAGCCACAGCCACCACTGCCCCTGCTGCTGGCTGGCTTGCTGGCTGGTGTTATTGTTGTTGTTGTTGTTGCCACATTTTGTTACATTTATTTGTCGCTTGATTTGATTCTTATTTCCTTTTCCTTTGGCTTTTGCTTTTGCGTTTTCCTTCCTCTGCTTCTGTGCCACACGTCTCTGTGTTGCGTCTCCCTCATGGGTCTGCTGACCCCCCCAACCACCCTGTCGCCTTTTGCCACTCAGTGGTTTATTTGCCATATCAATACCAGAGCCAGAGGAAGGGACAGAGACAGCAGCCGGAGCAGGGGGCAGGGGCTGTTTTAGTTGACCGATTTGTGTGGTTGGAAGGAGGTTAAGTTGTGTGTTTGCAAATGGGCTGGACATGGGCCTGAATGGCCATGGGACACAGACGAAGACGGAGAAGGGGCTCTGCATCATTGATTTAATGTATCGTAATCAGCGCAATCTGTTGGATCATTCTCTCTCCATAAGGTCGCAGAAACTTAGGAGAGAGAGAGAGTCCGCCATTCGAGGCGTACAATTTCAGGATTGAATGTCCATGGCATGGAATGAAAGATCCCGAACACACATTTTAATATTCATTAAGCTATGAAATATGATTAAAATATAGATGTCATTTTGTGGCACGCATAAAGCAGGGGCATGGATATGGGGCTATTCGCGTACCGCATTCCCTTCAAGTTGGCCAAATGCAACTCCTGGGACGAGCTGCCTTCATGCAAACTCGAGGATGAGTGCGTGGATCTTCGGGGGGAGACTTCGCGTCATCTCCTCTGTGCAAGCCAGACGAGTCGGTCTGATCTTGGTCTTATGATGATTTCTGCTTACTTTCGATGGGTCTTCTTTTTTGTTGTTTGTTAATCAGGGCTGGCGTAGATAAACCTGACTATTCCTATTTGATATTTATTATTTCCTGCACTTATGTACGTCGCGCGACATGCGGCAGCGCACCTCGGTCTGCCCTGCCTGGAATGCGCGGCTAACAGGCTTGGTGTCGCATGGGCCACTTGTTGGTGCAGTCAATGTGCAACATCCTTGCAATAATTTCTCTCCTTGCTGTTCAAATGAAGTGATCCTCCATGCGATCATTGGTTACTGCCAATCATTCCCCACTCCCGGAGTGTCCATCACATTGGTCATGCCACATCCACATGCACATCCCCACAACTCTGATACTCGCTTTGTTCCTGTATTTCGGTTGCATGTAACCACCGATCAAGGGCCAAACGAACCGACTCTCGGAGCTCTCTTTCTGGGTGCCGCCTGCACCGTGCAGCACTCGGTGCTGCTTCTTATTAGCTTGCATTAAGACCCAGCAGGGTTTTCACACCTCTGACGCCCCACTGCGCCTCTGCTGGCCGACAAACGGGGCAGAAACGAGAGGCACAAATGAAGATGCTACAGAGTGAGAGAGAGAGGGGGCGTTGGAGGAACGTTGCCACAGCGCACGCGCGGTGCAATCAAATTCAAATCACTTTGCATCTTTGAGATCTCAATAAAAATCTTTTCGTGTCCGTTGGCGTTGCAGCCTTTTGTTGCAGCATTGCCGTTGCCGTTGCCGTTGACTTTAATTGTTGCCGCAGGAGCATTGCTCAAATATTAATTGGTTTTCTCACTTTCTCTGTGTGTGCCACGCGGAGCCAGAGACTTCGACTCCGACTCCGACCCGACTTCGACATTGACTCTGAGGATTTCTGGCTAAGCCGAGAGAATGGTGGGAGGAGTAGAAGGCAACGGCAACGCCGACGCGGATCACTTTTTTTTCTGCCAGAGTTTTGTGTTGGTGTTGCCTGCCCCTCTTGCATTGTTGTTTCTGCGCTGCCTGCTGCAAAAATTAATTACGATATCATGATTTACAAAATTAGCCGCAAATGGTGCGGCCCTTTTCCTCTGTTATTCCTGCTCCTCCTCACCCACTCTTACAGACCCTTTTGCTCTGCAGCTCATCCGATCCTCTGGGCTCTTCCTGGCCCACTGATTCCTCGGCTCTCACTTCTGGCCTTCCTCTGCTTATCTGCTTAGTCGAATGGATCTTGCTGGGACTTCCTCCAAGCAGAGCGAATCAGCCACCAAATGTGAGCCCTTTCCGAGGTCTCACACCAAAGACAATACTCGTATTCAAATGCATTAAACTCTGGCAATTACAGATCAAATCCTTTATTAAACAATACTCAGGATATCAGAAAGCAAAACGGTGTGACAAGAATTTGTGGAAAATGCCAAATAGTGTAGCATTATTAATGCTTTGATTGTTAATTATAACGAATGAGCACAAAAAATTTAATTTGGAGCTAAGTCAGCCCCGGTGACTGTGTCGTTTTGGGTGTCACCATCGGAGTTCCCCTGCTCAGGTCCGTCATTTGTTCCGTCAGTTTGTCCGTTAGTAGGTCCATCAGTTGGTCCGTCAATGGTACGTGGGGCTGAGCAAGTGGCCACCATTCCTGTCCCTAGCTTTCTTCCCGAGCGGAGTACCTGGCCCGGGATGAGGGGCTCATCGACGCTGTAAGACTGGCGGCCATTCTCGTCGCTGAACAAGAGCTCCTCGTCGACTTTATTCAACCGCGGCTGCTCCACCTTCTCGACGCTGCGGCGAAGATCGGTGTATTCGACCTGTACGGCGCTCTGCTCGCTTGAAGAGCTGCGTATGGGCAGCTTGGTGACCAGGCGGACCATGCCATTTGAGTGGGCCAGTAGGCCCATGTCAGTGCCCAACGCTATGCCATAGCTCACAGCGGTCATTGGAGTCTCAAAGGCACGAATGTGCCGCATCACAACATCATCCGTCTGGGCAGTGACCTCAACTTTGTGGCACAAATCGTCCACAGTGGTGCCTGCGAGCAAGAGGAGAAATCAATTAGTGATTCCCCCCCACACACTTGGCCCTTAGGTTACTCACTCTGACGTGGCTCGCAATTCAATATGGCTATGATGTGCGGCAGCACCGATTCATAGACGTTTGTGTTTGGGGTCTCCATTCTATATTAATAGAAATCAAATAAAAATTTTAGACAAATTTGTTAAATTTAAATTTTTTTTCGACGAGTGTGAGTTTTCAGTTTTTAGTTGTTACCTGTTAGATCTCTATCGCAATAATAGATTTTTGTTTATTTCTAAGGACTGTGGCTTGACTTTTGAATACAAAGGCAACTGTGATCAAATATAATTCTTCAATTTATGTGACTCCCAAGAAGCCTTTGCAATATTGCCTTTGCATCACCAGGCAATATGGTCAGTTTACCCTAAAACCTAAAAAAAATATTAAAACAAATTTAAATTTAAAATGTCTTAGCCCAACCCTAACCCCAACCCACCCGATGCTGCCTAGCGCCCATCGCTGCTACTCTACATAGTTGGCTTTTTGCAAAGCCAGCCTCATCATTTTAAGTAAATTAGTGGGGTAGGGAATCGGAAATGGACTACACCCTCTTCCTACTCGTAGGCGCCTCCATGAAGCAACTGCTTAAACAGATTGAAAAGGATGTCTTGAGCAATGAAGAAATGTTGCGCCACATTCAATCGTTCGATGACCTCAAGGAAGCCTTGAGATTTGGAATGATTGTGGGCATATCCCTGGATCTCTTCGCGCTGTGGAATGAGATTTTGCATATTTCCTGCGAGGGCAGGCCACTTCTGAAGAGGACATATTCGAAGTACCGTGCCCAAGAACAGCAGCTGGTAGGCAGGCAACAGGCAGGCATACAGATCAGCCTTGGCCCCCATTGACAATCCTCCATTTCTCCATCCCACTTCGATCATTTGAGGTGCACAAATATCGTTCGAGGACAGTGCGAATAAGGGCACAGAGACGCCGCTAGAACAGTATCCACGAGTCCCGTTCCCCCCGTCCGTTTCCCATTACAATACAAACATTTTTTGTCAAAAATAAAATGGAAAATTTCCATGCTTTGAATTCACTTCTCGCTATTAAATGGAGGCTATGAAAGGGGTAATCATTAAACGGAGTTTCGGCTATTAATCTGTGCAGTTTGGGGAATGGATAGCCAGAACCACTGACGAGTGGATGGAAGGATGAAGCCATGTCTAAATGCGTGGAAATCCCTTCGATTATCCGTTGTACAGTTGGCTTGGCTGTGGGGGGCAGGGCAGCATCTGGGAAGCATCTTTCTGTGGTGAGTATCGCAATTGAACGCTTTGCACTAATTACTTTCGCAATTACGCGTCTTGGGAGCCAAAATGCGTTCGCACTTCCCATCATTAGGCCGACAGTAGCCCCATTTCCCGGCCCCCATTTCCCCCCATCCTCCTCACCGTCGCAGTGGCATATTAATCAAATTAGCTCCAATTTTTTTGTACCTTTTCCACTGCCCCATGCCACTGCCTTTGGCTTACTGTTAGGCGTTTAATTAGCCTTTTTGTTTGGTTTTTGTTGTTGTTTTGCTGCTGCTGCTTCTGCCCTGCCGATCGCAGAAATCATTTTAATTGATGTCGCTTTGATGATGAGTCCACAGTCGGACACGACTACAAACAATTGAGTTGTCAACTCAACTGTGCCCCAGAGTGTGGCACAGCCGTAGTACCGTGGGGCATAAATTGGAGCTGCAACTGGAGCTGTAGCTGTAGCTGGGGCGTTGATGACATTAATAAACGCAATGCGCATATGCAAAAAGGGGCAGCCGCAAAGGAATGCAAAGAAGAAACTGCCGCGAGAAGGAAGGGGCATATGGAGAGTAAAGGTAGCAAGAGAGAGCAGCAAGAGGGGGAAACCAGAGCAGCCAAGAGGTAGCCAGAAAGAGTAGCAAAAGCAGAAGCAGCCACAAGGAAAACAATGTTAATTACTGCCACCAAAAAAAAAACGAGAAGGAACGTGTGAGTCGCTTCTGTGGACGCGACTCTACTTTTATACCCGTACTCAGTCAGTATATAAATTTTTGAGCTTATGATTTATGTAGAATTTTAAAATATTTTACATTTTACATTTTTTTGCTACATCTGTTATCTACATATACATCTACAATGTCGATTACGCATCTAAAATGTAGATTCTATATCTTCTTCTTCTCAGGAAACAAGATTTGGTTGCTCTAGCTCTTATTGTCTCTGAGAACTAGGCGTCAAACAGGACGGACAGACGGACGGGCAGACAGACATGGCTATATCGTCTCGCCTATTGATGCTGATCAAGAATATATATACTTTATTTGGTCTAATATACCCCTTAACTCTTTTTGAGTACGGGTATAAAAACAAAAAGAGCGACACAATTGTAACAGTGGCAACAGTGCCCCAACAGCCCTTCGGTGGAGAAGGAGAAGGAGAAGGAGGCGTGGCCAGCCAGGCAGCCAGCCAGACCGAAAGGCGGAGGCAAGTGTGTAGCAAGTGTGGCAAGTGGAGCATAACTGGAGCGCGGAAACATAACGCGCAGCCCAAGGCCGATCAGGTGGCGCATTAATTGCCACAGAAGATCTCTCAAAAACTGTGGGATAGTCAACTGGCTGCTGCCTCCTGCTGGGTCCCCTACCTAATGGCTGGCAGCACTGATTGCCTGTGGAAGGACTCGCCGTAGCTGGCGTCCTGGCAGCCTGCTACCCGGCGGAAGTGACCTGCGGCCCCAGGGCATCGAAATGGTGGAGCTTGCAATATTTTTCACAGTCTGAAAACTATAGCAAAGGTTACATGACTCCATGCAAAATCAAAGTTAGCTCACAGGGGAGGCACAAGCAACTACCGATGGAAATGGAAATGGGCGAAGTTCACGTTTCGCCATGGTGACCCACCCACTAAGTGGTGAACGATTGGTGACCCCATTGCATTGGTAATTCGCTGAGCAAATATCTTTAAAGGACCTTCAAATTGGTGGCGAAACCAAGCAAAGATCCATTGGTGTGCCCCTGGGGACTCCTTCAGCGAATATCCTTCAAACGGTGACCGATTCGCTGTGGCAAACTAAGTCGCAAATCCTTGGCACTCGCTCGCCAAAAGCACACGGGCACACACGCCTCGATTTCACGGCTTGCAAACCACAAGAGCCGCCGCCTCCGCTGGGACCAAAACGCTTCAGAGGATTGCCAGCCAGTACGTGGCACATTCTGTGGATATTTCACGCCTCCTTTGGTGCTCCCTGCATGCAAAACTAACCACCAGAGAGGATAATGTGGCTGAGGATGAGGATGAGACAGCAGCAGTGCGCTGCCTGCCGATAAGGATATGACAAATTTCACGCGCTTAACGCAAAAAGGACAACAAAGGAGGTGGCCTGACAGGGCAAGGTGGACGCCGTCAGCGGCTTACCTTTCGAGACGGGTAGAGGCTTTTGTCAGATTTCCAAAAAGCCCAAAACAGAAACAAAAAACCAAAGACCAAAAATCGAAACCCCCCGAAAACTGAAGTCAAGATAGCAATCGACGGGGATGAAGAGAGCGCAGAGCCCCGTTCGGCGCTCGACTCGGCTCGCACTTTAATCAATCGCAACCGATTTGTCGGCTTAACATGTACAACATGACGCAAATAGAAGGCCCAGCCAGGAGGCCAGGAGGCAGAGAGGCAGGGTGGCATTCAGGAGCACTGAAGCCCCGGAGGGTGGCCGGCATTAAAGTGAGCAATCGACAAGGATTAGCGTCTGCCTGGGAATCCGATTTGTTTGACTAGCGACTGGTAAACTGGTGGACTGGTGGCTTGTATTTTGGGTTGGGCTTAGAGGGTATTGCCTGTAAAGTGGCCTGCTAATAGTTGTTTAGAGCGTGAGAAGATGATGGGAAATAGAGAATGGCAATGGGATTAGCAAGAACAACAAAATACCCGATGGAAAATACTCCGCAAACCACATGATAGAGTCGAAGAATAAACAAACAGGGATTCCAAAAAGAAAACAAATTCTGCTTGTAATTTATATGATTTTTTTTCTATCCCCATTGGGGGGATATTCTTATGGTTCGATTGTTCCGGTTATGCATGTAGCGGGTCATGCAGCATAGCCCCTCGGTCGTTTCTGCCGTAAAAAGCTGCGGTGATGGTAAATTTCTATAAATTCTGGATGCATTTATAAGAGAACCGAAGGGACTGTTAATCATTTAGACATATCCTTGATACCCAATATTTGTCACTTCCCAATCAATGCAATATTTGCATAGAACACAGTGGGAGTGGGTGAAAGCTAAGGGAAAACCTCCAGGAATACCCTAGCAAACACTTTCCCATGCATTCGGACTTGAGATAATTCTACTCAGATTTCCTACTCCCATTGGAGAGCAATATTCCGGATGAATTGTCGGTCGTGTCCAATGGGATGATGGGATAACAATTTATAATGGCTTAAGTACGATTTACGAGTGTATATGCGGCGGTGGCGGCTAATCAGCAAACCAGCATCAACATTGTCTCTGGACGAGGAACCCTCTCGAATCCCCCCTCGAGCCCTCGAACCCTTAGAAACCGTAGAATCCTCCCCTTGTCCATGGGCACGGGCACGGGCAGGGGCACGAGCCTGGACAGACCCTTGACAATGGCTCTATTTTTATGCGATTTACTTGTTTTGATAAACATTCGACATTTCTGACAGTCAAACGACACCCAAAAATGTAGATGCGATGAGATGATGAGACGATGCGACGGGGGGTGGGGGGATACGACAAACCCTGCTGCTATTGCTTCTGCCCCTGCTGGAAATAATTTGAAAATTACTTCTATATTTTTATGAAGGTCGCGTGCGGTTTTTGTCGGGATCAAAGCCAAAGATAAGACGAACCGAAATACGAGCATAAATCATACATAAATATAAATCTACATACACTCGTCTGAGAGAGAGCAGAACTTTTGTTTTTAGTTCCCTTTATTGTTTGATAAGTATTGCGATAATAATTCCAGCAGCACAATGGAGAGAGAATGGGTGGCAAGGACGAACGCTTAACACCCCCCCCCCACACCCGTTGCCGAACCCCTGCAACTGCTGTGGGGGGTTGGGGTATTGGGGGAGGGGGCGGGTTATGGGTCATCAAATTGAGATTTATGGAAAAGTTAACAACGTTTTATGCACATTTGCGGGGGTATCGTTAAATGGAGACAGTAACAGTCCGTCTGCCATCCACAGAATCCCAGCCCAACCCAACCAGCAGCAGCAGCAGCAGCAGCAGCAGTCCGTCAGACCGTCACTCAATCCTTCGGAGGCAGGGAGCGATAGGTGCGACGG